ATCCACTCGTTCACTCCCAGTTGGCCACAACGGCCGGAGCTGCAGCGATCCAAAGCCAGGAACCAGGAGCTCTTCTGGGTCTCCCACATGGGTGCAGGAGCCCAAGGACATGGGCCATCTTCTGCTTTCCCAGGCCATAGCAGAGAGCTGGATGGGAAGAGGAGCAGCCAGGACTAGAACCAGTGCCCATATGGGATGCCAGCACTGCAGGCCAGGGCTTTAACCCACTACACCACAGCACCAGCCCCCACTGGTTCCATTTTTAAGGCTCTCTATTGCATTTTTATTTGCTCTATTGAATTCTTCATTTCATTTTGATTTCTCTTTAATATCTCAATTTCATGTTCAGGGAGCTCTGTTCAGTTCTCCAGGGTTAAAAGCATGCCTAAAGTGACACACCCAGGTTTGCCATGGTAAATCTCTTTTTTTAATCAGAAGGGAAGTATATTCTGCTCAGCTGAGCTCTTCTCCTTGCTGGAGACCAGTGCCTGAGCACTAGCTCCAGTGGGTGTAATATTCTTCTGCTCTGTCCCAAGGACCACACAAAGGATCTATATGGTCCTCAGTGTGAGTTCAGATTCCCCAGCAATGTCTCCCACCAGGTAACCAGGAACCCCCAAACTTGTTTTTCTCCCACTGAGACTGCTCGAAGTCCCAGCCACACTGTGAGTTTTCCCACACACCCTGTGGTGTGTTTTTTTTTTTTTTTCACAGTCCCAGTTCAGAAGCTTCACACAATCACAAGCTCCTAGCCCACTGTTGTTTCTCCCCACCAGAGTCAGGAGTCTCCACTCGGCTGATTGCAGGGTGCAGACACGAGCTGGCACAGCTGTTATGTATGTCCAAAATGGCACTAGCTCTATCGGCATGTACGCTTCTGTGAGGTGACTGGAGAGAGAAGCTTCAGGCCGCATTCCCTCTAGGCTGTCCCTGCTGCTTTTCCACCAGTGGCTCGGGCTACTGCAGTCTCATCTCACCTCTCCAGTGCTTGTGCATAGGCTCTCGGCTGTTGGAGTCTGAGCCGTGGGTGCCCACGCCCTCCAAGTGGGTCCACCATGTCCCTCTAATTTCCTCTGCCGTTTTTTTCCAAACTCTTCCTTGAGACTATACGAGCTCCACTTTTTTTAGACTATTTTCTCCTGGCTAGAGCAGTAAGCTCCCTCCCTACTCCACCATCATGGAACCTGCTTCTGTTTATTATCATTTGTGCTTTCTTTTTTACTTAGTCAATATGGGTTATCAATTTTATTTACATTTTCCTAGAACTTATAACTTCATATTTTGGTATTGTTGATTTTGTCTATTGATTTTCTATCTTTAATTTCACTGATTTTTGCTCTGTATTTGATTATTTCTATTTTCCTTCTTAGATTAAATTTAATTTGCTCTTCTGGTTCCACAAGATGATTGATTTTAGGACTTTTTTTTCTGACATGTTGTACTCAACACTATAAAATTTCCTTTCAATGCTGAATTCTCTAAATCCTTCTAATTTTATTGTTACATTTTTTTAATTTAATTCAAAACATTTTAATTTCTCGTGCCTCTTCTTTGACTCATGTGTTTTTTTGTAAATGTGGTTTTTTTTAAGATTTATTTATGTTTGAGATACAGATGTACAGACAGAGAGAGGAGAGACAGAGAGGTCTTCTATCCACTGATTCATCTGGGTTGCCAGCATTGCAGGCGGTAGCTTAACCTGCTAACACCACAGCACCATGCCCCAACTTTGTGTCTTCTGCCTGGTGGATCTCTCCATTTATGGCCAAAGACTGTTGAAATCTCCAACAGTAACAATTGATTCATCTAGTTATCCTTGCAAGTCTGTTGGTTTTGTTCTTAAAGGTTTTGTAGGTCTATTATTAGGCACGTTAAAGATACGTCTTAGAAAATTTACTTTTTTTTTTTTTTTTTTTGACAGGCAGAGTGGACAGTGAGAGAGAGAGAGACAGAGAGAAAGGTCTTCCTTTGCTGTTGGTTCACCCTCCAATGGCTGGCGCGGCCGGCGCGCTGCGCCCGTTGCACCACGCTGATCCGATAGCAGGAGCCAGGTGCTTCTCCTGGTCTCCCATGGGGTGCAGGGCACAAGGACTTGGGCCATCCTCCATTGCACTCCTGGGCCACAGCAGAGAGCTGACCTGGAAGAGGGGCAACCAGAACAGAATCTGGCGCCCCGACCAGGACAAGAACCCGGTGTGCTGGCGCCGCAAGGCGGAGGATTAGCCTAGTGAGCCACGGCACCGGCCAGAAAATTGACCTTTTTATCATTACATAATGTCCTTCTCTATCTCCGGCAATTATTCTTGTTCTAAAATCTTCTCCATCTAAAATCAATATACCCTATTTTTATATTCCTTTGATTATAGTATTTTAGTATGATATATCTTTTTCCATCCCTTTATTTTTAATCTATATGTGTCTTTATATTGAAAGTATGTTTCTTGTAGACCACATTAAAGTGGATCTTGTTTTTTTGATCACTTGGACAGTCTCTCTGAATTGGAGTGTTTGAGCATTAACGTTTAAACTATTGTTAATTTAGTAGTATTAATGTCTACTATTTTGATACTGTTTTCTATTTGTTGCTCTTGTCCTTTGTTCCTTGTTCCTCTTTTTTTTCTCTCACTGGTTTGTGGTTTTTGTGGTTTTAATTGAATATTTTATATGATTTTTTCTCTGCTTTTAATATCAATGATATTTTTTCTTTTCTTTAGAGAGCACCCTATTGTTTGTAATATACAGGTACAACTGAGTTGTGTTCACTTTCCTTTGTAAAATTTTTATTTATTTATTGAGAGAGAGAACTGTCCTGCCAGAGATATCCCATTTGTTGGTTCATTCCCACAACAGTTGGTGCTGGGTCATGCCAAAGCCAGGAGCCAGGAACTCAATCTGCGTTCCCCATATGAGTATCAGGGTCCCAAGTACTCAACTGGGTTTGCCTGCTGTCTCCCAGAGTGTGAATTGGCAAGAAGATGGAATCAGGGGAAATTTAGCTAGGACCGAAACTCAGGCACATTACTATGGGATATGAATGTTCAGAGCTGCGTCTTTTAACGACTAAACTGAATATCTGCCTCTAAGTTCACTTTGAAATAATATTATTCAATTTTACTAGTAATGTGAGTACCTTATGATCATTTAATAATCCTAGTTCTTTACTCTAGCCCCTTATGTTATTTCTGTCCCTTTACTTACACATAAATATCTAACAGTCCTCTCATAACTGTGTCTGATGCTGGTGCTTGTCCATCTCTTCTGCCTTTTAGGATGCCTTTTAATTTTTTGCTTGATACTCAAACATGGATAAAAGGAACTGCTATAAATAGGCCTTTCATAATGTGGTGGTGAGGTGTGGAGAAGGTACTACTATGCCATTCCTGTTGTCATCAGATTTCAGTCTTTTAGTCAGCCTGTGCATCTGCACTGGGAACCTCACGAGCACATCCTAGTTTTGCCTTTAGTTGGAACCAGGCGGATAGAGTGGATTGAGATTATGTAGTTCCCTTATCCCAGGTCAGTTATTATCTAGTGAAACCTCAGTAGCTTAGGCTCTGGTGAAATGGTTTATCTTGTGGGTACACCTTGATTACAATAGAATGCTTTGGTATGTTTTAAAAAATGGCTCCTTTTCCCCTCCCCCTACCAAAAGCACTGGGGTTTTCCCCAGTGTTCACCGTGAGAACCTAGTTGAGCTTCTGGTCGTAAAACTTATGAAAGTGTGATGGTTTACCATGGCTGGGATCCCTGGAGTTGTTACTATCAAAGGTGTCCATGTTGAGTCCCCATAAAGTTGTGAATTGCAGTTTAGGTTTTCCCTCCCTGGTACTTGTTACTCTGGAGGTAATCTGCTTGTGGATTTCTGCTCTGGTAAATTGTGATCCTCCATATTCCGTGTCTGTCTCCCCAGTGTGGGGCATCAAAGTTTCCCTGTGATCTCACTTTTCTGACCAATCTGTGAAGAGCTATTGCCTTTCAGTTTTCTGGTTGTTATGATGGAGTGACAACTTACAAAGTCCTAGGTGCCACACTCGAAGCCTGAAGTCTATTTTTCTAAGACATGTTTATTGAGGTATAATTTACATATCACAGTATTCACTTATTCTAAGTGTACAATTCACTGGTTGTTAATAAATTTATAGATTTGAATAGCAATCACCACAATATGTCTTAGAATGATAAGTCTCATCACTCCCAAAAACTCCCTTGTGTCCATTTGAGATCCCTGCTCCCACCACCAGCCCTGAACAACCACTGATCTCCTTTCCATCTTTAGAAATTGGCCCTTTTGGGCATTTTTTATAAATGAATTCATACAATATACAATATTTTTGTCAAGTTCCTGCCACTTAGCACAGTGTTTTTAAAGTTTATCGATGATGGGGGGGATATGGGGGAAAGAACTACTATATTCCTAAAGTTGTATCTATGAAAAAATACATTCATTAAATAAAAACTTAAAAAAATAAAAAATAAAGTTTATCACATATCTAGTGAATTTATTAAGCAAAATTAATATATAGTAGCTGTTTTCTAGCTTTGAATAAATATTTAGCCAAATTGAAAGATGGAACATTCTTTAAAATCATCTCTCTGTAAGAACACCATCCTCTATATCACATAGGAAATATAATGATTGTGCTATAGATCACATTCACAGGAGACTGGTTAGCAAAAGAATGATTTAAAAAGAATGAAGTTTATCATCAGAGTGATACTTAGAAACTGTAGTTATAGATACATCTGTATTTATTATTCCAGTAAGTTAAAACAATAAACAACCAATGAGCAAAATTCCTGTTAGGACACATCCTATTCAGATCTGCTGAGTGACTTCAATTCTCTTCTGGAAAATCCAATGAACTTTGTTAAACAAATGAAAATGTTAGCATCTGATTTCCCTGAAAACCAGTTTTAAAATTCCAAGGCAGCCATGGGACTATCATTGTATAAATTATGAAAGTCACAGAATGTTCACATATATGAACTGTTGTACTTACAAATTATCCTCAAGTCTCTTCAATGATTCCAAAACAAATGAATGGACACTGTCTAAGGAGCAGGATCCAAAGCAATTTAGGGCTGGAATATATCTAATTTTCATAACCAAGTCATTATGCAGCTTCCTTTTAACACTGGGGATTTAAACAGGGGAGGGGGTTACTTTCAGACACACACAGACACATTATGCTGAACTTCTTTCTACTGAGCATTTGAAAACACTTTAACTGAGTTGCAGCTGTATGATCTGCTAATTGCGTCATGTGTAACAATCCTATGCATAATGCCACTTTGAAATAGGTAACTAAATTTCCAAATCTAGCCTATTTGAGATGAAAAATGACTTTATAAGATTATTGTAAAATATTGAGGTATAAATTCCGAACAAAAGGAATAATGTAGAGAAATCTCAGTCTGTTATTAGCACTATTGTGCTTGCTTTACTGAAAAAAATCTGATAATCCGAATGGAACATGTTTCAGTGTTTGAACCCCAACTCCACCCACTCCATATATCTGTGAATATCAACTGCAAACAAACCTTTATGATGACTCCAAAATTTAATTAATCCTTTGGCCTTAATACTTTCTTTTTGTCAAACAAGAATCTCTTGGTAATATAATATCTCTATATTCAGCCTATTTAACACCTCAGTCTTGAGAGCATTGTATCATCTCCTTGATCATGAACCACATGATTAAATCATCTACATGTAAATAATCTCTTACAAGAACCAATGTGAATTAGCATTCATTTTAACTGCACTAAGATTCCACAAATTCCTGAGATACCCAAATCTCATGTCTGACATATCTATCTAATGGGAACATGTGTCGCTCCCCCATTCGCGGAGGAACGACACCGGACCCTGTGCTGTTCTTTTGTCTGCTCGGCCCTTCCCGGGTTTGCTGCTGGTCCTTCCCGGGTTGGCTGCCGACCCCTCCACCTCCGTGGAGGGGCGGCACCCCGTGCCACTTTCCCCGCTTCCGCGGAGGAGCAGCACACCGCCGGCCGGCTCTCTCGGGGGCTGCTCAGGTGTTCCTTCAGATGTTCCTGGTGCATGTTGTCTCTCTCCTCCTTTATAGTCCTCTTCCACCAATCCCAACTCTGCTGCCCACACACCGAGCACGCTGCTCTCCTCCAATCAGGAGCAGGATCAGGTCCTGCAGCTTATCAAACTGATGAGGCAGCTGTGTAGTTGTTTGCTCCTCCCCAGCGCCATATTGTGGGAGAGCAGATGCATAGAATTAGTCCTAGTTCCAGTAATTTAGTCTAGTCTCAGTTGCTCCCCACAACATGGATTGAAAAAAATCCATGGAATTTTCTGACAGGTGGCACACATCTCAGTCAAAAGAAGATTCATGTACCAGCATTTATTCTAATAGCCTAGCATAATTAGAATGAGATGCTTCCTGATAGATAGAGGAGCATATCATATATAGGAAAAATCCTCCCTCAGGTCTAGTGACAAGTACTTTGATTGGACTAAGTACTGCTCCTATGTGGAGGATAGAAAATGTACCCAGTCAACTACTGTGTCAATCTCAGTGTTCAAGTAATGGAGGTAATCTTAATTCTACGTAGTTATAGTTGTACTGAGCTCTTATTTACTTATTTGAGGGGCAGAGACACAGAGACAGAGTTCCATGGTTCACAAATACTGCAACAGCCAGGGCTAGAGTGGCCTGGGCCATACAGAGGCCAGGATCTGGAAACTCAGTCCTGCCCTCTCACACTAATATTATAAGTGAAACATTATATCTGATTTTAAGTTGTAATTTGATTAATGAAGAAGATACATATAATACAAATTTATATTTTTCTGCTTTTAAAAGTAACATACACCTCACTCTAAAAACTTTGAAGATATTTCACTTACAAGAAAGCCAATAATAACCCAAAATCTCATCATGTGGTGATAACTGTTAGCATTTTTTGTCTGGTGATCCTTTTGAAATGCTTATTGATCATTTGTACTTATGTATGCATGTGTGTGAATTATCTGTCCATGGCCTTTGTTCAGTTTTCTCTTGGGGCCTAATTTTTTAAATTGAATTCCAAGACCTGTTAAAGAGCATCAATCCATTGCCTATCATATTTGTCACAAATATTTGTTCATTTGATATTTACTTTTCAAATGTTATCTTTTGATGTCCAGATGGTTTTATTTTGAATATAGACAGATCTCTCAAACGTTTTCTTTGTATTCTGTATCCATTGTTTTTATAGTTAGAATCATCTTCCACATTCATATGGTAGTAAGTAGTCATATTTATATATATATAAATATTATAGCATTTTCATGATTTAAACTTTTTCATTAAACTCTTCAACTCATTCAAGGACTTGCAGGTTGAAGTTACCAAATACATTTTAAAAAGGAATTTCAGTTGCTGATTTTCTGTCTGCCTGCCCTATAGAAGTTCATTGAAACAAGAAGCCTCATTCAGTTTCGTATCTGAGACCTCTACCATGAAATCTGGGACCTCTCTATATATGAGCAATGACTGTAATTATTAAAAGAACAGGACCACTCATATAATATCTTTACCTTTTAAAGTTCTTTGAATTCAAGACCTGATTTTTAAATTTCCTTTTGGATTTTGTCTGCTTTAGTCCAAAGTCAACACTATTTATGGTGAATCTGGTCACAAAACCACTGTCATCCCCAAAGAGGATGTCATCTCTGTAGAGCTGTTCAGGCATAGGCACCACACACACACACAGGAGGCGGTGGTCCATGGGCTTGATAACAAAGTAGTTTTCCTAGAAACAGAAGAACACTTCAAATGAGCTACTGTCTTATTCTATTTAATGTTTTATTTATTTATTTATTTATTATTTAACAGGTAGAGTTACAGACAGTGAGAGAAAGAGACAGAGAGAAAGGTCTTCCTTCCGTTGGTTCACTCCCCAAATGGCTGCCACGGTCAGCGCTGCGCCGATCTGAAGCCAGGGGCCAGGCGCTTCCTCCTGGTCTCCCATGCGGGTGCAGGGACCCAGGCACCTGGGCCATCCTCCACTGCCCTCCCAGGCCACAGCAGAGAGCTGGACTGGAAGAGGAGCAACTAGGACTAGAAACCAGCACCCATATGGGATGCTGGCGCCACAGGCGGAGGATTAACCAAGTGCGCCACTGCACTGGCCCCATTATTCTATTTAATTTTATCACCTCTATTATTTGATAAAAATTTTACTTTCTGATATTTCTCATTTTAGATCTTACCACAGTGATAAAGGAACTTTATTGTTTAAATTTTTTTCCCAAAGAAACTGTTTATTTTATGAGTACAAATTTCATAAGTACAACTTTAGGAATATAGTGATTCTTCCCATCATATCTGCCCTCCCACCCCTACTCCACTCCTACCTCCTCCTCCCTTTACCATTCCCAGCCCCATTCTCCATTAAGAAAAAACAACAACAAAATTGTCCCTGACAGTCAACACAAGGGATATTCAAGTCATTGCTTCTCAAAGTGTCAATCTCATTTCTACAGATATCCTTTGAGGCGCTCTATTAGTTATCACAAATCAGGGAGAATATATGCTATTTGTCCCTTTGGGACTGGCTTATTTCACTAAGTATGATGTTTCCAGTTTCATCCATTTTGTTGCAAATGACTGGATTTCATTTTTTTAACCACTGTGTAGTATTCCATAGAGTACATATCCCATAATTTCTTTATACAGACTTCAGCTGATGGGTATTTAGGTTGATTCCATGTCTTAGCTATTGTGAATTGAGCTGCAATAAACATGGGGGTGCAGATAACTCTTTTATTTGCTGATTTCATTTCCCTTGGGTAAATTCCCAGGCATGGGATGGCTGGGTAAAGGAACTTTAAAAAGACAAAATTTACTAAATAAAGATTAAGAAACACTGTGAGCCCAACATAATGCTTTTGGGTGCTTTATGGGAAAGTGGGTACAGGACCTACCTCTGGCTCAATAGTTAAGGATTTTCTGATGTATTGCTGTCTATTGGATTTGTCAGAAAATATTCACAAGAAGCCTAAAAAGATCCAGGTGTTACCATATCATTGACATAAAACTAGGTGGCAATCAAGAGACTCAAGTATTAGTCTCAATTATTTTACAGAGACTTATCAGGAGTAAAAATATCCTAACATTGAAGTTATCTACAAATACTCAGCAAACATTTCTCAAGCCAATTCATACTACTGAATGGTTCATTAAGCTCTACATCTATTCCTCTTCTGGAATTCAGTCTGTATAAATTAGTTCAATCCATCAAAAAATATTTATTAAGCATCTGCTATGTTCCAAAGATTATTCCTGGCATGGCAACATGTCAGTCACAGATGAGCTGCCTCATTAGACTTTTTTTTTTTTTTGGTCAGAGTTAAACATTTTGTTTTAGCCATTTTCTTACATAAAAAAGAAGCTTTGAACTTGATAACATAAGCATAACCAGAAAAATATTACTTGGATTCCGAAAAGGGTACTAAAAAAGAAAGGAATTAGCCTCTCCCTCTCAAAACTAAAACAAAACAGAAAACCCAGAATTAAATACACATATATTAAACAAAAAAACACCCCTTTTAATTACAGGATATTAATATTGGATTTGATCAAATCCAGGCCAACCACTCAGGCTACCCCATTTCTTTGAGTATTTCTCTTGCACAGTACCTGGCTGTTCTCTTGAGCTTTATAATCCCAGATAATGATGCTCCTTTCTGTAATGGCAACAATTCGTTTCAGCTGTAAGAGGTAATCACATCCTGTAATCCAGGAGGTACCCTGATAGGAACACACAGAATTGGGGGGTACAATGGGTTTCTTCTTTTGACATAGTAGTGGTACTAAAGACTAGCTTAGTTACGTGATGAGCCCCATTTTGTGACTTTGTTTAGGGAAGAACCTTGCACAGCATCCTTTGAGTATCTTGAGGAGAGGCTCCCATCTTTCCCCCTTTCATTGTGACCCTGATTTCTCAGTGCCATCGGCTGCACCATGATCAGCTAATGCCAGAGGCAGTCTCTGGAAGCACATGGCAGCTGGCAGATCAGCCATCTTTGAACACCATTCACCTTTTTTTTTAAACTTTTATTTAATGAATATAAATTTCCAAAGTACAGCTTATGGATTACAATGGCTTCCCCCCCATAACTTCCCTCCCACCCGCAACCCTCCCCTCTCCCACTCTCTCTCCCCTTCCATTCACATCAAGATTCATTTTCAATTCTCTTTATATACAGAAGATCAATTTAGCATATATTAAGTAAAGATTTCAACAGTTTGCACCCACACAGAAACACAAAGTGTAAAATACTGTTTGAGTACTAGTTATAGCATTAAATCACAATGTACAGCACATTTAGGACAGAGATCCTACATGAGGAATAAGTGCACAGTGACTCCTGTTTCTTCACATGGGCACAAGGAGACTAGATTTAGGGTACTCAGTAAAGCAGGTTGTCTGGCCCTGTCCCCATAGTAAAATTTTGTAGCAGGAAGATTTTACTGATTATTTGGTCAGTGACAAGTTGAGACCAATGAGTTTGTTTTGTGCCCTGTGTCACCAGGCCAGCATAGCTGGGATCTATAATATCAACAACACACTGTGGAAGAAAAGTGATACTATCCATTTTTTTAATATCCAGTGTGCCAGACACTGCTACATGTGTCTCGGGCACTTGACACTTCTGTAACATCTGTTAAGAATTCGAACTGATTTTTTTTTTTCAGCTTAAGAAATGGAGGCGCAGACATTTTGAGAGAATCCAGACTCCTTAGCACTGCTTTGTAGTTTGATGTACTTATGCAAGGAAGGTGAGAAATTCAGGCATTTTCGCATCTCTCATAAACCTGTGGTGGGGTTCTACAAGCAAGTCATTGTGACTTTACAACATCTGTCCCAAGATTACTATTCCTATGAGTGACAGTGGTATGCACTGACTGAAGTGCAAATTTGTACTCAATTTCAAGTTTAAAATAAAATGCTTTCCGGTTGTTTTCATGGGTACCTCCTTGTTCTCACAACCTGGGTTGTGTCCTCAGTAGGGGGTGCTCAGGAAAACTTAGAAGCTTTTAAACTGAAGCTTCCCACAAGTAATCCATTTCCAAGCAATCCTCTGTAGTCGATTTAACTCCAAAAAGCAAGACCTGGCTCTTCTTCACTGTTGCTCAAGACTTACCTTTGATCCTAGTACATAAAAATAAATTTACATTCCACAAAATGTCTTTTACTCAGAGCCATATGCAAGCAGTTATGTTGAGATTATTATTAATTACAGTAGAACCATTACCATAGCCCTAAAGTAGCAAATATACTTACTGTAACATTGATGCTGGTCTGAACTTTCATCTATGGACAGCAGAAGAGAAAAATGAAACTTAGTTGGCACTACAATTAAAGATGAGAATATTGACTCTAAAATAAAACAGTATGTCCTCAGTTTAATCTTACATGTTATTCCACCTTCATGAATCTCTACCCTGTTTCTCCTTCCTCTGAAACATCTATCTCTGTGGAATAATATGCATGGTTTACTTAGGGCAAGGCACTTAAACTTACCAGTAAGGGTTCCTGTTTAAACCTGGTGTTTCTACTCTGAAGAGTCTACATTTGACTATGTGCTATGTTTCTTCTATCTCCAAGCTACCTAATATTTTTTAATTATTCAGAGCAATATTTGATAGAGAAAATTGGAATGCAAAATAATATGAACAGCAGTGACAAGAGAGGTTAAAAGAATGCTAAGTAAGAATATACAGTGAAGTAGAAATAAATAGTTATCTTTTCAAGTTGTTGAAAGACTTGGCTCAATAGGCTAATCCTCCGCCTTGCCGCGCCGGCACACCAGGTTCTAGTCCTGGTCGGGGCACCGGATTCTGTCCTGGTTGCCCCTCTTCCAGGTCAGCTCTCTGCTGTGGCCAAGGAGTGCAGTGGAGGATGGCCCAAGTGCTTGGGCCCTGCACCCACATGGGAGACCAGGAGAAGTACCTGGCTCCTGAAATCGGATCAGCGCAGTGCGCCAGCCACAGTGCGCCAGCCGCAGCGCACCGGCCGCGGCGGCCATTGGAGGGTGAACCAACAGCAAAAAGGAAGACCTTTCTCTCTGTCTCTCTCTCTCTCTCTGTCCACTCTGCCTGTCAAAAAAAAAAAAAAAAAAAAAAAGAAAGAAAAAAAGAAAGAAATGAAAGACTTAAAGAACATTCTAATCAATGGGCCTCATCTTCTGTTCAACAAGTATATGCTGAGAGCATCATGCCCTGAGCATTGTACTTGTTGAGAATCAGAGATTTGGCTCCTGCAGAGAACTGGTGCATATTTGAGCAGCCTCTCATACCCTAAAGGCATACTAATTGCCCCAAGATAAAGGCAAGTAGTTGACCTAGCTCCATGACCTGGTTTCTTTTGGTCTCAGATAGTCTTGGGGAATATGTAGGAAATGACTTCCCAGAAGGAATGGATTATGTGAAATAAGAAAAAGTGGATCAAGGAGATCGCTAAAACTCTCAGTCGTGACCTCCTGCAGATTGTCTTTTCATTGGAAGAGTTCAGAAAGTGTCTTCCAACCAGGGCCTTTTTTCTAGGTGGGAAAAGAAAGCTCTGTGAGGAAATTGGTGAGCAGCAAAACAGATGGTTTCCTCTTCTCTCTGTCTACATCCACCTTTTGTTTTGTGGAAGTCACTTATTAAGTTACTCTTACCGTCTTTATAAATTTCATAATTTGTATAGATGTCTTCCGAATTTTGAAAATCTAGCTTTTATTTTTAAAAATTTTTATTATGACACTTAGCATCTATATTACCAGGGAAATCCCTAACTGTATTTATTTATTCTTCATCAGATAGAGTCTAAATTATGGATTAAAATAATAATATATTTTGAGTTATTAATGAATACTTTTGAATACATTATTCCTGTGACATGCACTTCCAAATTACTTTTTTCTTACAGTATATCATTTATAAGGCATTTCATATTCAAAATACTATACATGTCAAATCTTAAATCTTTATTAATATTTCATTATCATTTATAAGAAACATATGTGTGTCTGCATTTGTGAGTATACATGTGTGTACATATAAGTCTGCATATGTATATGTGTGTGGGGGTGAAGCATCTCTAGAAACATAATGTTACCTCATTGGGTCACATAATTCTGAACAATTTTATTAGGCAGATCATTGTTTACATTTGATGTGATATTCCTTTTTGCATTTTTCTTTAGATACCATCTTATTTCTGTTTTTATGAAAATAAAAGTAAAACATAAGTAGAAGATAAATGTACTTAAAGAAAAAGAGACTGAGATGGTCGTCACATTATTTGTCATTAATATTAATTGCCTATATCTTCTGAGTGCTTATAGTAATGCTGAATACTTCATGTTTACTAACTCATTTAAATGGTAGGTCTCCCTTGGGAGAGAAGGGCTATGGTTGTGGATGAGGATCCAGTGCATGGGGATACTAGGTACTATGCACAGCTGTAGGTACTAGTGCTAGGATGGACCCAGGCTCCATGCCCACCCTTCAGATCCTTCACTGGACCATGTCTGGTCAAAGCCAGCCCTCTCCTTGACAGAACCTGGTTGGCTGTGACTTCAACTTCTCTAAGAGTCTCTGTGCTGGACATTACTGAAGGGCTGGAAATTACTGGAAATTTTAACCATATGATGATTATTGGGAATATATTTTACTTCTGTTATGCTTGCCTCTCGTTGGAAATACGCTAATAATTACATGTTTCTATGTTCATCATCAAACATCCATCTTTTGTTTTTTAATTGTTTTTTAAAGATTTATTTGTAAACATAGTGAAATACTATAGATTGTATATCATCATATATTCTCTTAAAATGACTTATATTTTAAATGGAAATAAATATTTATTTATTTATTTATAAAAAGTGACATTGATAATAGTGATGCCTTATATTCATATAGGGATTTATTGTGTATCTCTACTTATATTGTCTCGTTTGGCCTTCAGTACTTCACTGAGGGAGAAGGGACTGGTCCTATTATTTTAATTCTACAGATGTGAGAAAAAGAGTTATAAAAAGATTTAAGTAGTTCACTAAGTTCCATACTTAACATCATAGCTAGTCAAATATAGAGGCTAGAATTTGAACCACATTTTTACTCCAAATCCAAGGTTCTCAAGTGTTTTTTATTTTAATCTGAGAAATTGTCCAGGATCACTCTTTCACTGTACTGATGCCACAAGGTTCAATATGACATCCTGAGGAAAAATGGGAAGTGCAATCACAAATCTGCTCAGCAGTCTCCTCTGTACTACATATTTGGTTTTATTTTGGAAAATAACTCTGAAATGTGGTTTGTGGTTTCTGCTATACCTGATACATATGCATAATACTTAGACAAAAGAGGGAGAGGGGGAAAAAGGAAGGTAGGAGGGTACCAAGGGATGTGTGGAGGGAAGGAGGGTGGGATCCAAGATTTCAAATTACCTGGCTGTTAAAGACAGTGAGTAATCCTGTCTGAGAAGCTGTTACTAGTAAATCCAATTGAGGAATCTTGACAATGCACTTGATCACGTCCCATCTTCTACTACCTGTCAATAACAATATTCATTTTAATTTCCAGCAATGAAAACCCTAAAACTCAATGGTTAAGTTGTTTAAAAAGAAAACAACTTTTTGCTAAAAGCTTCCACGTTACTTAAAAATTGAAGACTAAACTATGAAAACCAGTAACTCTTGCTTTTTAATGATCCCCAGAGATACTAACCTGAATATGAGTACAGAGCTTTCCAATTAAATGTGATGCATGAATTCCTGGAGAAAATCTAAGATATTCATACCTTCCCCACACATGCACATGTGCGCATTTCACAGAGAATGGATTTTCTAAATATGGTTTTGGAATGTGTTTCTTTTTACCATTTTTACTTGTTTATTTTTTATTTTAATTTTAATTCATTTTAACAGATTAAATATGATTTAAGATACAAGTCTAAGAACATAATGATACTCACTTCCTACCTCCCTCTTACCCTCCTACTTTTATCTTTTTTTTTCTACCTTTTTTTTAAGTTTTTGAGAGAATGTATTTTAATTTACATCACAGTAAAAATTTTAGCATGTCTTAAGAATCCTTTCTTCAAACTGGCACCATTATGGCTTACACAGAATAAAAACCCAATATTGTCTCAGGCTTTCCAGTATAAAACAATGAAAGTACTTCAATACTGTTATTAAGGCTGTGTTTGGGGGCCCAACATTGTGGCAATACAGGGTGAGCTGCCACCTGTGATGCCAGCATCCCATATGGGCACTGGTTTGAGCCCCAGCTACTCCACTTCCAATTCTACTCCCTGCTAATGTGCCTGAGAAAGCAGCAGAGGATGGCCCAAGTGCTTGGGCCCATGCACCCACATGGTCTGAGACCCAGAAGATATTCCTGGCTCCTGGCTCCTGGCTCCTGGCTCCTGGCTTCGGGCTGGCCAGCCCCAGCCATTACGATGGTTTGGGGTGTTAACCAGCAGATGGTAGATGTCTCCCCAACTCTCTGTGGAATTCTATCTTTCAAATAAAAAAAATGTTTAAAAAGGCTTTGTTTGAACTTTGCGCCTTTTGAAACACTAGACATTTGCATGTTTCTATGCTGATGTACTGAAGGATAAAGCCATATATATACATTTTTTTAAAGATTTATTTATTTATTTGAAAGTCAGAGTTACACAGAAAGAGAGAGAGAGGCAGAGAGAGAAAGAGAGGTCTTCCATCTGCTGGTTCACTCCCCCAATTAGCTGCAATGGTCAGGGCTGTGCCACTCCAAAGCCAGGAGCCAGGAGCTTCTTCCAGGTCTCCCACATGGGTGCAGAAGCCCAAGGACATGGGCCATCTTCTACTGATTTCCCAGGCCATAGAATAGAGCTGGATCAGAAGTGAAGCAGCCGGATCTCGAACCAGCACCCATATGGGATGCCGGCACTGCAGGCAGCGGCCTTACCTGCTACACCACAGCGCCAGTCCTGAGCCATATATATTTATTGGACTTCTGGGGTGATTTGATTTTTACAGCTGTAAACTTTAGGAAAATCAAGTGAACAAATCTCTTATTCTAGTGTTACCACCCTCAGGCATCTCAGCAGAGAAGATATTGCCATCCAAAGGGTACAGATTTGTTTTGGGGATTAGGAGCATGAGTAATTCTTACTCTTTTCTTGCACAAATCCCAGGTGGATATATAGAACGTCATCAGATACACTTAATAATTAATGTCTGTGGTATTACAATGTCCTGGAGCATGGTGGAGTAGAGAGGAGAGAAAAATGAATACGTAAAAATGGTCTAAGAAGGCTCCTCACTGGTCAGAATGAAGAAATGGTTGAGACACATGGTCGTATTCCAAGTTGCCATCATTCTCTCTGCTCCTCTTTCTTCCTCAGAATAGACTTTTCAAATCAGAATCACATTGAATGGGTAACTCATATATATCATGCCTCTCCTCTACCCATAGCCCTTTTGTGAATTTTTGTCTCATTCACAAGGTCCTAGGCAACGTCCTCCTGCCCACTGCGGCCTCGCCAGCCTCACCTTCTAGTTTCAACCCCCATGAGTTCTACTCCTCCTTGTGGTGTGCTCTTTCACATCTTCCAGGGCTTGCTTTGCTTTCTCAGTGGCATCTTCCCTGGCCACTGTTGACATCACGTTCCCATCCCCCAAATCAACTGCTCCTTCCCACATTCCTGCTTTATTTTTCTCCACAAACTGCTTACTTTATTTTTATTTCCTACAGCATTTATGACCATCTGGTATTCTGCATATTTTGTTTGATTTTTTGTTTTGTTTTGATTTTGTTGTCTCTGTCTCTCCTCGTTAGAACATAAACTCTTTTATTTTGTTTCTATTTTATCTTTTTATTGGAAAATACTTTAAAGAATTCAGAAAAGAATAAAGAATAGTTAGATTACCACACAATTTAACTCTTGGGAGTAGGTGTTTGGCCTAGCAGTTAAGATGTACCTGAGTTTGCATTCTAGCTCTGGCTCCTGACTCGTTTCCTGCTAATGCAGATGCTGGAAGGCAGTGGTCATGGCTCAAGTCACTGGGTTCCTGCTATCCCTGTGGGAGATCTGGATCGCATTTCTGTCTCCTGTCTCCTGGCTTTGACCCAGGTCCAACACCAACCATTTAGGGAGTAGACAAAGGGATAGGAATGTAATTCTCTCTCTCTCTCTCTCTCTCTCTCAGATAGATAGATAGATAGATAGATAAAATTTTAAAAAGGAATGTGAACTCTATGAGGTGAGGAATTTATGTCTGTTCCCGCCCCACATTGTAGACCACAATAAATATTTGTTAAGTGCTAAATGAATGATAAAACCTAACTACCATCTAGAAAAACACTCCCAAGGTTCTAATTTAGGATGTTGGCAGCATCTCTCTCTCACTCACTAGTCCTTCCTCAGCTCAGCAGTGGTGACATCAGTACAACCAGCTGTGTTTGTTCTTGGGTCATAGTTCCCACAACCAAAGACTGGGCACTGATGATGCCTATGATTGGGCCAAGGGAAGGGCAGGATAAAACTGGACTTAGTTCATAAAGGAGTGAAATGCTGCAAGATTGGAAAGGATTCAAGAGTTTGCCTGTTTTCTTCCCAAATTTCTCCCACCCTGCATGAAAGAGAAAAGGAAAGAAATCCGAAGTGTCAATAGCAGAGAGTTATGTGAGTTCCCAGAACCTAAGCTCCACTTTGACAGTAAATGACTGTGAACTGGAGCCTTCCTAACAGGAGAGAACACACTTCCATGACTGGCCCAGACTCACAGCTTTAGGGATGTAAGGCAAACCTTTACACTAATATAGTCAAAGGCAGATGAGCACATGGGGAGGAGGCCTAACTAGTGAAAACTTAAATTAATAATACTTTAAAACATTTAAACATGCTTTTATTTTATATTGGAGGATAATTAAAATACTGCCGCCTAGAAGTTTGAGTTCTGAGCCTTTCAGGAAAATATGAATTTGTCCCCTCATACTTCCTAGTTAGTGTCCTTCAGAGAAATGATAATATTTCAGCTTCAACAGCAGGTGCAGTTTCTTCTGATACTTCAGCTAGAACTGTCACTTTACCCCCATACTGTAAAGCATTGAGCAAGTAAACAAAACGAAAAGTGATTCTATGGAAACATTATGTTCACAATATTTATTTTTGAGACAGAAATACAATAGCATACACTAATTTGGAAGGGAAATTTGTCACCTGCAATTTTAACTCGTTGTTTTCTGGAGACCAGGAAAATCAAATTTTCTAAATCCATCTTTGAAGAAAGAGCATCTTTTTCATTGGAGAAATATCCAAAGATCTGAAATCCCAAACAACACACATTAACATGACATTTTATGTTGAAATGGGCTGTAAAATAAGAGTTTATATAAACTGAATTTAAAGTCAAATTTGGATTAACTACCTACACTTTGCTTCATAAATATAGGATATTCCTCATACTAAAAGGAGGCAGTTTAATATATTCAACAAAATGAATACTTATGGAACATTCGATGTGAGTGGTCGCTGATTTTTCTTTCAAATAGAAGAATAGATGTACCAGGTTGATGTGCTTTCTCAAATGGACAGATCAGTTCAGGAACTGGCACTTATTTGGAAATCAAATCAGCCTTCACAAGGCAGGGCCCCAGATAAGAACCTTGACACAGAATTTGGCCACTCTCAAATGACTCTTCTTCAGAGTTTGCCTCCTTTCTCTTTCCCATTTTACTGCCTTTTCCATTCAGGGTTCAGACATGTTCACATCTCTCCCATCTTAAAAACAAAAATACAATAAAGCTTCCAAACTCAAAAGAGTAATCCTGAGACCTTTTCTTACTTTCCCCAAGCTGCCTTCTCCAAATGCTTCTACCTCCTGAAATTGCCAGATTGAATTCATCTTATGGCTACACGTTATGTTGTTTTTTTTTTTTTAAAGATTTAATTTTTTTTACTTGAAAGATTTACACAAAGAGAGGAAAGGCAGAGAGAGACCAGGAGCCGGGAGCTTCTTCCAGGTCTCCCACGCGGGTGCAGGGGCCCAAGGACTTGGGCCATCCTCTACCGCTTTCCCAGGCCATAGCAGAGAGCTGGATCGGAAAAGGAGCAGCTGGGACTAGAACCAGTGCCCATAGGGGATGCCGGTGCTTCAGGCCAGGGCGTTAACCCACTGTGCCACAGAACTTACCCCTGTTATTTCTAACAACAGACACACAGTGTGTGAACTTGACATTTTCCTCTCTGTGTTAGTTATCTATGGCTAACAAAACAGATCAGCACAGAGATAGTGACTTAAAACAATGCCTGCTGGTTCACAGTTCTGCAGAACTCTGTGTTCTAAAATCAAGGTGTTTGTAGAGATAAGTTCTTTACTGGAGACACTGGGGGAAGAATCTGCTTGGGCATTCATTCAGGTTGTTGGCTTGAGGTATATTTCCTTGCTGGATGACCTTACTGGTTATAAACTAGGACTGCCGTTAGTTCCTAGAGGCCTCTATTCATTCTGAGTACATGGGTCCATCTATCTCAGCAACAGCAAGAGAGCTTAAAGCTCTCTTTATACTTGGATTCTCTTTGCTACCTTCCAGGAGTTGCAATTACATTGGATTCACCTAGATAATCCTGGATGACCTCCGTATTTGAAGAATAATTGATTAGTTTCTTATTTTTTTCTGTAACGACCCTTCAAAGCATTACCTAGATTAGTATTTAATTGCCCAACCAGGAGACAAGAATCTTGGAGGAGAGAAATACCTTTAGAATTATATCAAACTGCAAGCATCCCACATTGGAGTGCCTGGGTTCTATTCTCAGATCCAGCTCCTGATACCAGCTTCCAACCAATGCAGACCCTGAGAGACTGTATTGTATCAAGTCACTGGGTTCCTGCCGCCCACATGGGAGACCTGAATTGCATTTATGGCTCCTGGCTCCAGCCCCAGCTCAGCCCTGGAAGTTGCAGGCATTTAGAGAATGAACCAGCAAATGAGCTGCCTCTGTCTCTCTCTGTGTGTCTCTATGTCTATCAAATAATTTTTAAAAAGAATTCTTATCATATCCTCATTTTATAAACACTACTCAGTACAACTTAAATTATACAAAATATAACAAAAAGTTGATCATGCTAGCTGCATTATTTACCTGAAATAGAGTAAAATAATAATTTTCAGATATTAATGTGAAATGACAGTGGGAATCATGGTTCTTCATTTCTATGCTAATGATTTTCAATGCTTTTCAAGGATGGAAGAACTCCAGAGAACATGTGCTGCCATCTAATTTGAAATAGTGTTCCATATGTCTATGACACTTAGCCTCAAAGAGAAGTGTATAGTAGATTAACCAGATTTGTAATATTTATGTAATTTTTTGGAGATCATGACAATGTTTATGTTAAAAATCTGAAAACAGCTGTGAGAAGAAGTCAAAGGGCAATGCCCTTTGGGAGGCATAACTAGATGCTTTAGGACTTGGGCAGGAGTCTAAATCCTGGTTCTACTGTCTACTAGTCACATGACCACAGGAAACTTCCTTAGTCTGTGCCTGATTTTTCCCATCTGGAAAAATAGGAATTATCAGTAATAACCCCATCTTATGCCTTTTTCTAAGGATTAACTAGAGAAGTAGAAGATTAGAGTACTTTGTAGTTAGGAAGATAAGGAAATACTTTTATTATACCGAGTACTAGGAAGGAGCTTAATCATGTCAACATTTGAGTAATTGTATTTCCCACTTTTTCCAGCGATGGAACTCAGGAGGCATCCTTGCCAGTTTAAAATTGCCTACTAAGCACTGTTGTTGCCTGTGTAGACAACACATCAGTCATGCACTTAATCATTCATATATTTTACAGTCGAACATATGTAGGAGGTATGTGCTATTGTGCAGAACACCTGTTCTTAAGGAAAGGATATGTTTTTGCTACTTTCATTTGAAATGGCACAATATCGAAATGCTTGCCAACAATAGCTTTCAAAGGATACTAAAAATACCAAGTTACTAACATTTCTTGTGGAAAAGTTTATTATATTATACAGATAAACTACTACAGAAGGTACAATTAAAAGTTTACATTTTGAAAATCTACTTATTTATTTGGAAGGCACACACACACACACAGAGAGAGAGAGAGAGAGAGAGAGAGAGAGACAGAATCTTCCATCTGCTGGATCACTCCTCAAATGCCTGCAACAGCCAAGGCTAGGTGAAGCCAAAACCAGGAGCCAGGAACTGCATCCAGGTCTCTCATGTGGGTGGTAGGAACCTAAGTCCTTGGGCCATCATCTGCTGCCTCCCAAGCACAGTAGCAGGAATCTGGATCAGAAGGGTGAAGTAGCTGAGATCAGAACTAGTCACCCCTACATGAAAATGTGGACATTGCATATGGCAGCTTAGCCCCCTGTGCCACAATATCCACCCCTATATTTTAAAAATAAATGTTTCAAGCAAATATTGAGGTTGAAGAGCAGAAAATTTGTCCTCCTATAATAGATTTTTGCCTCAAGGATCTCAAATTTCTCTCTCAACATTTTAAATTTCAGTAAAACAATTATACTTACGATACAATTTGAGTATTTTATGATTATTAGACATATTATGACTATTAAAGTATTAATTTTAATTATGGTATTTACAGGGCTTGCTCCATACTTCAAGTGACTCATCTTTTCCTATTTTTTTCTGATTACATAAGGAACATATGTTCATTATGGAATGTATGGAGAACATATGGAGAAAATGAAAAGCAGATAGAGGAAAATAAAAACCTGTATGCAACTTACTTTTTAAGCCACCCTGGGACATTCTTTTCCTATTTTTGGAGTTGGCAAATGTAATTTTAGATTTATAATAATTCACTTTACATTCACTTTGTGGAAGGAACATAATTATAAGCATCTCATATGGTGTTACATTGTTCTTCTTTGAATTAATTTGTACTGTGCTACTATGCTTATGAATTGCCCAACACCACTAATAAGGAATTGTAGGAAAAATAGATTGTAGCTGCACCACACTCTTCCACTGATTAACATATTTGTTCAAACATAAGGCAATCACATTTCTTTACATCTAATATTTCTCATTGTAAATGAAAAGAGCAAGTCAAAGTTATGTTTTCCTTGAGTTCTAAGATTTCATTATTCTGTGAATCTCAAGCTCTCCAAGTTCAGATGCATTCGCATCTAAAATCTAAGAAAAGGAAGTATAATTGTGTGTGGCATTCCTATATCAGATTTATATTTGGAATCCAATGTGAACTTCTGTGCCTGAGTTAAAAAAGTAAACCCAGTTCTTATTACCTGATAAGATTAAAATCAGTTGATTAAAAAAATAAAAACAAAGCCAAACAGCTGATCTGTCCTGAAATGAATTTAGTCTTTCAGCATTTGGATTTTACAGAGGACCAATCTGAAGTTCAGAAGGTTAGCTCCCATGCCTTGAAACAGAATGCCTTTTAGAGGCATTGGCACAGATAGTGAGAAAAATGACAAGTACAATAAAAGAATAACTGTTCTGTGCCATTTTCTCATACCTCTAGTGACTCTTTTTTTTTTAAAAGATGTATTTATTTACTTGAAAGAGTTACACAGAGAGAGAAGGAGAGGCAGAGAGAGAGAGAGAGAGAGAGAGAGAGAGAGAGAGAGAGGTCTTCCATCTGCTGGTTCACTCCCCAATTGGCTGCAATGGCTGGAGCTGCACCAATCTGAAGCCAGGATCCAGGAGCTTCTTCCAGGTCTCCCACGCGGGTGTAGGGGCCCAAGGACTTGGGCCATCTTCTACTGCTTTCCCAGACCATAGCAGAGAGCTGGATCAGAAGTGGAGCAGCCGGGACTCAAACCACTGCCCATATGGAATGCCAGCACTGAAGATGTGGCTTTACCCACTACACCACAGTGTCAGCACCTCAGGTGATTCTTCATATACACACTGTGACCAGAGGCTGGTCACAGGACTTTCTATTAAACTCTCTTATGACTGATAGGAACCTAAGCTATGTGACAGGATAATGTCAAATGAAATTACTACATAGAGACAAAAACCTCATCAGCAAGATCAAAACCGACTTTCTGAGAGGCTTTACATAAGTCATTTAACCCCTATGTGCTTCCTTTTCTTCATCTTTATGATTATTATTGTTATTCTCTCTCATGGATACTTTGGGGCCATTGTGAAGATTAAATGAGAACCTGAAAGGGAGGTGCTTGAAAAAATGGAAGACATTTTACAAATGTAATAAGGTTGTGAGATTCTAACTGGAAAGGAAAAAGAGAGGAGCAGCTGTTGGAGAGAATGAAGTTCAATGTTTTCAGCTAAATG